TCTGGAAGTATATGCAATGCTCACTCTTCAGACGCTTGAAGCCCCAGGACAACATCGCCTCATTTAGTGTCCGGTTCCAGGCTAAGCCGCCCTGCTTCATCCCATATAAGCCTTTCTGCAGCTCCCATACATGATCCTCAAAGCCTGGTTCCACGAAACCTTCAGGTTGGTCCATGTAGCATACTTTGTCAGAGTCAAGCAGCCCATAAAGAAATGTGGTCTTGATATCAAGCTGTTCGGTCTCCCAATCAAGAGCAGCACTGAGCTGAGCTAGAATTTAGAAGGATTCCAGCTGAGCAGTGGGTGTAGAGGTCTTAGTGTAATCCTGTCCCCAAATGGCTGAATAGCCACAACAGACATAGCGGGCCCCCCATTTTCATCACACTTTAGTTTGAATATGGGGTGTCCTTTCATGATTTTTCAGCCCACAGGTACTGAGGTGCAAGGGACAAGCTTATAGACACCTAGATTATGGAGTGAGTCAAATTCCTCGCGCATGGCTTTGGTCCAGTCTTTAGCATTTGCCAAGGCCATGGCCTCAGCATAAGTGGTGGGATCATTGGGGTGCTCGGTGTCGAAACTGTCTGGTAAGGCAGCAAAGACTTCAGTGAGATAGGCAATCTCGGCTTCGAGATCTGCAAGGTCAGGGTCAGCGAGATCTGCAGATAGGGCGTGATCCAACGAGGGAGTGGCAGAAATGCTATCTAGTGCCTGCAAGCGTTCAGCAACAGCTGAAGAAGCCAAAATCGCACGCTGAGTGGCAGGGATATATTTGGTACCTTCCGTGGCACATCGACATTCGGAGGGGACAGGTACATGGGCAGATTAGCAAATAGGAGGGGGAACAGAGGAATTTGGAGTGGGGATGATCATAGGTGGGGGAGAGTTGGGGATGGGAATGGTGTTTTTGGTAGGGGGTGGTGCATCTGGGCGAGTTGGGGCAGGTGGGTTCTCGATGAGGCGGCCAGGATGAAGGGGAGTGAAGTCATTATTATGAGATTCAATGAAAGATACATGATATGATACAAAAACCTTGTGTGACTCACGGTGGTAACACCTATATGCCTTAGAGTTGAGCGAGTACCCGATTAGGACGCACTCAACCAAACAATTAAATATCTTGGGGTTGTGTCGGTTTTGAACAAGGACAACAGCCTGACAACCAATTTCACGCAGGTGCAATAGGTCTGGCTTATGAGTGTACGAGTGAACCAGACCTCATATGGTGTGCGGCCGTGCTGTGAGGCAACAGGGGTTCAGTTAGATAGGTAGTTAGCTGTAAGCATGAACTTGTCCCAGCGGTTTGGTGGGATACTACACGCTGAGCGCATGGCCTGTGCTTTGCCCATAAGAGTCCAGTGGAGGTGTTCAACACACCCGTTTTGTGCTGAGGTGTAGGGGGCAGTAAATTGATGCTGTGTCCCATGCGAGAGGAGCCACTCCTGCACGGATGCAGTCTTGAGTTCCCCGTTGTCCGAGCAATAGATACCGACCTTAGAGCTGGTCTCAAGTTCACGTGCACGCTCCCAAGCCTGTAGCGCAGGGAAGGCATCAGCTTTTGATGCTAGAGGGATTGTCCAAGAATAAGACAAGAAGTCGTCAATAATGTCCATAATGTATCTATGCCCATTTGCAGAAACAGTGTCTGGATGCTCCATTAAGTCAACATGTACAATGCCTAGCTTACGCATCACCCACTCCCCTTCCCTGACCTTCAGGGCGTGAGTCCTTAAAGTATTGGTGGAGATTTTTCTGTCAGCTTACATGGCATTCAGGTCAAAAGCACTACCAACTCACTCTTATGGCCTGTTAACCAAAGGGCACTCATGAAACTAGTCTTCAAGTTTGCTAACCTAATGATTTCAATCCTGATTTTGACCAGACTGGAATGGCCATTATTATGCCAAGCAGACTTTCTAATGTATAGGAAAAGTACAAGGGCACAAACCGTGGAATAGGTCAATTAGAATTGGAATTACAAAGGGAGGAAGTAGATAATATTCCTGACATTTAACTATATAGCCTAGTATACAACACTGCTAGCACATAATCACATATGCAAATGTTCAAATGTCTTGCCTTTGGGAGCTCAGCCCCAGTAGAAACCATGTATGGTGTGAGATGACAGAATACAATTATTTAGTGTTTGCACTGTACTCAATATGATGAGATAAGGCAGATAATGAAAAACACACATTGATCACATTGCATTGTCTCATTTTGCATTGTATCAGCTTGAACATGCTTGTAACTTTCCTTTGTCTTGCATTGCATTGCACATAACTTTGTGTTTTGCTTGTTTTTGACTCACTTTGCTCACACACCTTCATATTACACATTACAATTGCAAGTAACTCATATGCAAAGCAATGCAAAGGTAAGCTAACTACTACTGGAAGCTTTCTGTCATTGCTTCAGACTTACTGTTAACTACAGTAACACTTCTGACGTGCACCATACACTTGGGGATCTGGGCCCTGTTGGCCCCACTACACAGTGTGCAGCTACTATCAGTAATTGATGTTGAGCAGGCTCATCATGAGCTTGTAAAGTGAGGCAGTCTCCATCATGGCAATGTTTACACAGGCTGACACAAGTATGTACATATAGAGAAAAATGAGGCAGCAGGGAGTACCAGTGCTATGCAACATTCAGAGTGGCTTATGAGGGTGCTGATGAAGATGATGAGGCTTGAGACAATGAAAATTAGAGCCAAACATATACTTTAATACATTTTTAAAAACTTGAATCATTTGCATGATTCCTCATCAAGAGACAACTGAAGTTGATGTTTAAGCTCCTGCACAGCCTGAAAGGACTTGTCCATCTGAGAACAATCATAAAAGTGTGCCTCTTCCTCTTGTGTGAAGAACTTACAATAAATTAAGTCTGGAGGGGGTAGACTTGGTGTTGCAAACTACTTCTAGTCAAGCCTTGGAACAATAGTTTTAGGTGTATTGGGCTCAGATCCCGGTTTTGTGATACTGCCATTGCTAGGAAGAGTCTTTGAGGGCATTGCATACTGTTCTGGTTCATTTAACTCCAGCTCTGTGATGCTGTCATTGCCAGGAATAGTTTTAGATGGAAGAGGAGCTACATTGTCCGATTCCAGTTCTGTGATGCTGTCAATTGGAAGAGTTTTAGACAGGAGAGGTGCTATATCATTGAAGCTTTTAAATCCCAATTCAGTGTATCTAGAAATAGTGCAGTCAAATAATGTACTTACATATCATCAATCCAATCTCATAGCACCTCCTTTTGTGTGGCCACTGGTTTCAGCTCAGACTGAGTAAGAATATGCTGCATAAGAAATTGACAGGCAGGACTGTTGGTCCAGAATTCTCAATCCAGCATAATATCATCAGACCAAGTCAAATGAGGAATACTATGGGAGTGGCCACTGTCGGTCTAGTCCTCACTGCATAAACTAAGTGTGTGAGTCCATGATTTACCATCAGTTAATCTCACCTTCTAGGCTCTTTCTGAAGATAGCTATCTAGTTCAGAGTCTGCTGGTAATTCCAAGAAAAATTGCACAACATCACTGGCAGGAAGGTCCATAAGAAAAGAGGAGGCTTAATTTGAGTACTTAGAAGATTTGAAGTGATTCGGACATAGCTAAAAGGCACTACATTGGTAGCTACAACTTCATTCTAGTGGCTTTTCATACCACCATCATGTCAGTATTATCCCCATCCTTACTAGGGCTTTCTTGTCATCATCTCATTTGTTAGATCATTTCTTGCAGCATTCAAAGAATTATCCACAACATAATAATGTAAGTGTTGTATTTCATGCTTAATAGGCTCAGAATATGTTAATAGGGGTGGATATATGTGCACAAAGGGTGGGTATATGCACACACCAAGTGCCAGCACTCTCTCTGGAACTCAAATTCAGCAACTTCAGGAATGGCTTGCAGTATATGAATTGCAATGCATCAAGTTACAGTGTGAAATTACAAGACTCACAGGAGAATGCAATACTATCAAGTACATCAACAACTCTTTTTTTAAAATCATTTCATGTGGTTTAATATACTGACAATCAGTTTAGACAATCATTTCACACCCTTATTCAAGTTCTTAAATTACCAAAAGATACAGACCCTCTCGAGTCCAGTATTGGCGGCATCATGGCAAGTAACTTGCATCAATCCCACTCCAACCATGCTTCTCACCTAAAATTATGATTTTGGTGCTGATCTGACTATGATGCATGGCTCAATTCTGCAGTAGTCTCTCACATCAAGCAAGGCACTGCTCCATACCTCAAGGAAAAAGACAGTAATCACACCACAAATGCTACACTCAAGTCTATTTACTGGACATGTCGCACAGCATGGGCAGAGCTTGTTGTGAAGAAACTCACACCACCAACATGGGCAAGACAATGTGCTTTTGGTCAGTCCCTGATGCAGAGTGTCATGGAGAAGAAATTCCCATTGTTTTGGTTTGAAGCGGATGGATGGAAGTTAATGCTACTGTGTACAGCTAACCATCCCAACTGGCAGAAGTGCCACCTCAATCAGGACAGGACCTGGAAGAACCCAGATAAGACTGCTGCCAAACGTGAGGCTATGGATGAGGACAACAATACATGCACTTCGACACCAAGCCCATTGTTAAGAAGTCAAAGGGTAAGAAATGTGAATGTAGTATGGATGACTCCAATGCTTTACAACTTACCAACAAGCATCAAAAAGGTCTGTGTTATTATTACTGCTATGCTCATCTGACTTTTGTAGTGTCAGTGACTCCTTTATTCAAACATCACCCTGGCTCTTTCATCAATATCTGCTTTGAACTGGCGAAAGTAAGGGAGACCAAATTCTACTAGGTCAGAAAGTATCTTCCATGAATTGAAGTGATCCTGGTGTGACAGACCAGCAGTGTCCGGTGAGTCAGGGTATAGATTCAGTAAGTCTTTCCATCCCCTCTGTGGTTCAATAATTGAAGGATCTGCTTGTAGATTGAGTGGAGACTTTGACCAGGGTACCATATCCTTGTCAATCCAACTGGGAAAGAAGGAAAATTTAGAGCTGTTGGTTGGTGTGTTGAGCTGAATAATCTCTTTACAAAGGCAAGCTCTGCAGTGCATGGTGCATTCTTGAAGATCTGATGATCCACAACTTGGATATAGGTTATCAATGGAGGAAAAGGGTCTAATCATACTATTGACTGCATTATCCTTGAATCTCCCTTGGTTCAGGTGTACCAAAACTTGCACAGAACATTTGAGCGCAACTTTCTCCATACACTCCTCACCAATTGACATGTGAAAAGAAACATGGCACAAACATTTAAAGAACTCTATATGTACATGACTGGGCATTTCCCACATGAAATTATATTGTGACATCATAGTAAGTATTGTATCCAAGATGTCATGAACAAGGCATATGAACAATTGTATAAGAGCAATACTGAAATAGAGGCAGAGGCAGCAGCAATAGAAGACCACCCAACAATGGAAGATGTAGTAGTCGAGTTGGGGGTATAGCCTTATGTTACATTTTCTTTGTCTACTATGCAAGACTGCGATGGGTGCAATAAACATATGTGACTGTGCTCTGTATTAAAGATATAGTTAAAATTTTAAGTGACACACTGAAGTGAAATTAAACATACTATTGTGACCCTCCATATGGCATGCACTACAATGGGTCTGCGTTTATGGAGGAGCCTGAGGACAGCATCGATAACATTGTCATTGGATGACCATGACAGTGTGCAGGATTGAAGTGGTGTAGCGTCAAGAAGGGATGCTGTAACAGGTAGTAGGATGATATGATGTATGATTGCGATCACCTTGATATCAAACTGGTCAACACCAGACCACCTTGTCTTTTTATGAAGGTCTTCAATGGTTATAATCTTCTTCTCATATGTGCAGTCCACAATGCAGTCCAGCAAGGAGTCAGGCATCATTATGCCAGGTCCATAATCAATAATGTTACATTCTCCATAAATTCTTCATGCAGATGACTCCCACCAATCTTCCAGTGAGTTGTGGAGCTCAATCTGTTTTAGTTGCATGGTGTGTTTAGTGAGACAAGAATGATGAGGGACTCTAAGGGAGGGTGTGACTGTAGTAGTAGTGTCAATAAACAAGAATGTGTTTGGATGGTGGATGTCGCAGCAGGTCTCGGGTAGTACTAGTGTACAATGCAAACAGCCATCTGGCTGTGCCAGATCACATGCAAGGTGAACTGATTCTGTAATAGGAAGACAGTGGTGAGTAATTTCAATTTGTAATAGGTAATCTTCTCACCTGCCAATGACTCATTGTTGAAGTGAACGTAGAATACTTTCTGTTGACACTGAATTGTGCTTCATAGATGGGCATTGATCAAGCAGTTCATTGCGGGGTCCAGTTCCTTGGTTTTTTTCTATGCGGTCCAACTTGCAGTCTTCTCCTCCTCTTTTGACTGCAGCATTTCACGTAATTGCTCGTCTTCTCCCAATACACCTACTTTGTCACAGTTGGTACCCCATTACAACACTCTGACTTCCACTATCTCCCCCGCACTCCAAATTTACATTCTCTTCATGATCCTTATTGTCCTCTTCAGATGTTGGGCTTTCATCAAGCTGGGAAGATACCATTGTATGGACTACATGCTGACATTTTGTAAGAAGAGTACTGCCAGTGACTATGTTAGTTGTTTTGTTTTCTTGACTCTTGATGCAGGCGCCTTTCCTTCCAGACATCATCAAAGTGCTCCTTCTCAGCCAATAGGATGCTGCCACAATGTTGACAGTTTGCATGTCACCCTCCACTGGACAACAAGTTTGATATTGAGTACATCCATTCCCTACTCCAAGTCGCCAGTTACACTGAAAGATTGATATATAGACTGAACACTTATCATGCCAAATGATTCAGTTCTGCATAGTCCCCATATCTCACCAGAAATAAGGTGTGAGTTTGTTTTCCATGTACTCTGTTGTCATGTTACCTAATGTGACTATCTACATTATATTTTATTAGATTTTCTCACCCTTGCATTTGAGCTCTGCAAGGCTGGTATGAGTTTTGCTGCTGTGGCTGACAATGTTTACAAATGTTTCCTTCTAGCTGCTGCTGAGAGGTTGAAGGAATATAGTTGGGTTGAGTTTGAATTAACACGTACAGTAAGTAATATTTTCCCATAGCCCTAGTAGACCACCTTCAATCTCGAAGCAAGTGGATCGGAAGGAGCCTACAGTAAATCATGAGTTCACTTCTTACCTACTTATGGCCAACTTTTTTGTACGACACAGTGGAATGTCATGTGTAATTGATCTACTGTTAGAGTTAGTTGATCCTTTCTTGAATACATGCTTAGTTCAGCCAGTTTTCTCTGTTTGTCTCCTAAGTGTTATCAAAGTCGACTCTTATCGTATGAATGTTCTATGAATGCCATATATTTTTAAACTCGAATACTAAGCTTTACCCCTACCCAAATCCCCACTACAGTCATTGACTAGGAGGACTGATCACCCTCCAAACCTTCAATCCCTCATCCATGGAATCTGATAACAAAGTTAACCCCAGACAAAAGCTAGGAGGACTCACTTGACGGGAAAACCTAAGGACTCCCCCTTCATCCGTCAGAAGGACAACGAGGTGCAGGACAAGTGGACTCATGCCTCAAATGATTTCAGGCCAACTTCTTGACACTTGAGTCAGAGTTGGACCACAAGAGTGACTCTGCAAATACAAAATGAGTGAAATGTTTCACTCAGAGTGAATACCAAGCGAAACTTAACCTATCAAAATATCAGCAGAGTTTTCTTGAAAATGAACTTCCCTTCACCTATAATGGTGAAGCTAATGCTACAATGTTTAGAAAGTGGGTTAGGGAGGTTAGAGATTGGAAGGACAGAGCCAGACTGACTTCCAACCAATCACTCTGAATGCTTGGGAAATACCTTGGGGGACAGGCCTATCAATTCTTTGAATGAGACATCTTGGATCTCCAGAAGAACTACTCAATGACCAAGTTCTTTGAGCAACTGTTCGATTATGTGTTTCCCCCTGACTTTAGAATGCTTTAGCATCAGAGATTCCTGGACTGCAAGCAGGATGGTATACATACTGTGTGAGACTACCTACAATACCTACAGGACCTTGCTGATACTCCTGGAGACATCAGTGAACACAAGATTGTTCAACAGTTCTGGATGAACTGCAAGCCTTACATTAAGGTGTCCCTAGTTGACGAGGACTATGAATCAAACTCTATTAGTCTCATGACCATTGAGAAGAAGGCATTATGCACTGAGTGTGCTTTCTTGGAGAACTTGCAGAACCCAAATATACTCCTAGCCCTGAACCCAACGGTGGCTGCCAGTATTGTGAGCCATAGTCAACAATCTGGAAGATGTGACAGGAATGAGTCCCGATCCCACAGATTGAGTAGGAGAGACCGTATCTCATCTATATCAGCTAACACCATCCATCCCTCCATTGTAAAGCCTGCTAAGGCTGGTAGTAGACATACACATGGACCAGCCCAATCAAACTCATCTAGGATGTTGAGGGATGTCTATAAGAAGAGTGCCAACATCATTAAATGGCTAAGGAATAACAATCAGTGCTTTGAATTTGAATGTGAACAAAAGGGTCACTTAGCTAAGGACTGTCCTAAGCAACACAAGCTTCCCTACTGGCCTGTAAATTAAACAGGCAGCATCTACGTCAGCACTGTTGGAGTCTCAGATGCCGCTATCTGTCATGCTGCCATCGAAGAGGGAATAGTGAGTGGGCTTTACAGGATGGCTGTTAACATATTAGACTCTACTGAATTAGATAGCGAGGACCACTCACACATCATCAAGAAGACCCTGGCTACTCTGAGGATAGGAGTTCCACTTCTGATGGATGAAATGGATGATCTACTCCATTATCCCTATGTAATGGATAGGTTCACACTGGAGAACTGAGGAGGGCCTAACACATACTTGCTCTCTGATAAGCACAATTACAATTCCTACATTGTCTACTTCAACCAACTGAAGGACAAAATGTTTGATGCAGTTGCGTGGTTGACAGATTTGAAACTGCAAAACTATGAAGACCTTGTCATTAAGGGCTCCACTTTCAAGCTAACATGGTGTGGTAAAGTAATTGAAGGTACTCACCAGGGCATGCCAAATGATGCCTCTACCACCATAACCACAGATACAGTGACCGTTGAAAGTGCTGTGGTGAAAGAAATAGTAGCCAGCTAGTTATACCAACAAACCTACTAAATCCTAATGGGTGTGAGTGCAGTACATCAACCCAAGGGGACTGCTATTGAAGCACTTCCTTCTAATAGTGCAAGGGAAGAGAAGGGAAGGAGTTATGATCTGTGACCAAGATGTTCTGACCGACCGAAGGTCCAAGTCCGAGTCCAGAAGTGTTCAATGCAAGATACCCAATACAAGTAGAAAGGTCCAATGCTGAGGGGAGCGGCAGGTAAGGCTAGGCTGAGGTAAGGAGAGTCTAGGTATAACTAGGTATAATGAGATAAAACTAGGTATAGGTTGCCAAGTCAAAACTTCCAGTAGCAGTCCAAGTCTTACAAGGCCTAGGTATAGAAACCTTGAATAACACACACTTAGAGTGGTTAAGACACGTCCAAGATGAAAAGCAAAAGATCAATTGCACAAATCAAAGACTAGCTAAGGTGACTCCTACAATGGTAGCAGGTATGTCTAGAGAAGGGAAGTAAAGTATAATATAAGACTTGGGTCCTATTTATCTAACTGTATGAACGTCCAGAATCACACAGGCAAGAGTAGTAGTGAGATGCAGGGTATTCGGTTCTGTATGTAATGAGGCTTGCAGGTGCTGCGGCCATGGGAATACATGTAATAATGCCTGCTGTTCATTCAGTAATGGTAAGATAAGCTTCAAATGCACCAATGGAGATAGGTGGACATGGGTAGGACATGGGAGGATTCGGTACTGGCGGGATGGAACAGTCGGCCAAATTGCGTGATGACCGAATGGCGGGTAAGGGACGATGCAGACAATCCTGGCTAACTGTGAGTGGCCGAGGCAATAGGTCTGAATCAGCTGAGTCGAACATAGTCTGCTGCAACAATGGAAAAGTCGGATGAGTTGAGGCTCTGCAAGGAAGTGATGGGTGGATGTGATGTGGCTTCTAGGAGGCTTGACCTCTATAGCAAAAAGAGGTTCTGTGAGGCCAGCCCAAGTGTGAACACCACAGCACCTTGGAAAGGCTCAAAGATGAGTGCCCCAAACTTCTGATGTGTGAGTCCTCCTCAGATGAGGATGATGAAGGATTGCATGATGACATCATTACCAGTCTTGACCTGGCTTCAGAAATGGCTAATGAGAGCATGAGCCTGGAACAAATATACTGTGGGGATCTTGCACTGTGTTGCAGGACGTCCATTCCCCACATTGTAATGCAGCTCACCCCAAGTCCTCTTGTAGAATCCTACCAAGGGCCCTAGTGGTAGTCATCCTCATCAATGACCACTCATGCCAAGCCCTGCTTGACTCCAGATCACTGACAGATTTCCTGTCAACCACTGTCATTGACCAACTGAAACTAAAACTTGACTTACTAGATAAGCTAATTCCCTTACAACTCGCAGTACCGGGATCATGAAGTGTGGTTAAGGCAAGCACAACCATTTTTTTGGCTCCTATATCAGTATGTTTATGGACATTTGCCTGGATGATATCATCATTTACTTGGACAGTGCTGAAGACCACGTTAAACACGTGAAACTTGTGATTGATACCCTGCGGACGAGTAGTGTAACAGCTAATCTGGACAGAGTCTGAACAAGAAAACTATCGTAGGTAGACTGTCCAAAGACAGAGGCAGAGATATAGACTATAGGAGTCAATCCTAAGTCTTGGAATAGACAAGAGTTGAAGTAACTCAAGTCTGGACGGAAGACGGAAGACGGAAGACGGAAGACGGAAGACGGAAGACGGAAGACGGAAGACGGAAGACGGAAGACGGAAGACGGAAGACGGAAGACGGAAGACGGAAGACGGAAGACGGAAGACGGAAGATGGACAGAGGAGGACTTGAAGTCTGGGGCAAGAATGAGTATAATCTAAGATGATATTTGAACTGAGGTGTTATGAAGTTATATGGGAGTTTATATACTATAGGTACCTAACAGAATAATCAATTAGCAATGTCCAGGGCTATATACGAAGCATATGCAAAGTCTATTGGTAAGTAGGATTGATCACCAATCATTAATTGGAGATGAACATAGTGGCAAAGGTGAGTAATTGAGAACTCTAGCGGTGTCCTCTGACTTAAAGGTCTTATGTACAACACATATATAGTGACCGCACAACTATATAGAATAAGACTTCTTGCCAGTCCTTAAGTACACAGTCTACAACTTTTCTAGTTTTTGTGGTAGATAATGTGTGAGTTCTTGGGAGGGTTTACTTAAAGATGTCCCCTTCTTGTTTTCTCTCTGTAGGTTTGCTTTGAGGCCTTTGTCATTTGGAAAGGTTTGTTTCACCCTATGAAAGTTTGCCTCAATGTGAAGTAGTTCTCTTAGCTTGTGTGTCCCTTCCTGTAAAAGAGAGAGGTTATGTGTTTAGATAAAGTTTAGTTTAAGTTTAGTGGGTTAGTTTGTTATATAGTCAACCCCTATAAGGTAGTATATAACTCAGATAGATATTTCTTAGTCTTTCTTCAAGGCACCAGTTTTGCCTGCACTTTATTTCTTAGGTAATCTCACCTGTTTTGAGAACAGGGATGAAAGTGGGAAGTCTAGATTCACAGTGGCAAAATGGGCTCCTTTTACACCTTTTTGGAGGCCATCTTACTAAGCATGATTCAGCACATGGATTAGTAAGAACATTTTTACAAATTGATCCTTTTAGTGTGTTGAGTCAGCTTATTTACTAACTAGCTTATTAATACAATGTGATCTTACAAAGAAAGATGAATAAAAGACATGAGTCATCCCATGGATTGGTAAGAACATGCTTACAAACCAATCTTTTGAGTGAGCTGAATCAGCCTTCTTACTAAGTGGATTATAAATACACTTGCAAGTCTTACAAATCCTGACAAATCATGACAAAAACATGATGAATCAAGTTGAATCCTTATCAATCAGATTATTAACCAGTCACATGACAAGCTTACAAACATGCTTTGTGGCTGGAGAGGAAGTCTGATGGTTAAATATGCTTAGAAAAATGGGAAGAGATAGACTCTCATGGAACAAGATAGAAATACATGGAAAAATAGAAGTGAAGTTAGAAAGTGAAAATACTAGCTAATGAACAAGGAGAAAATGATGGGGTAACTTGCTGATAGGATACAGTCTGTTGTATTATACCTTCCTTATTACTCCTGCTGTGTATATGTCATGGTATGAGTCACATACCATGCATAACATCCACCTGGCATGAGAAATCGCAACTGTCCTCAGTTGAGGTGTGTATCATGTAGGTTAATTTAGTCTCTCTCTTCTCCATCTGTTCTCTGAATCTGCAAGGTGAAAGTATTCCTCCAGAATCCTAAAAAACTCAAAATATACTCTGCATGTTGGACATAATTGAAATAATACTTCCTGGTGACTTCTGTCCCAGTAGTATAACATTTGTCTATAGTGGATACTGATGTCGTGAAATATGACATCCTCATGGAGCTTATTACAATCATCCAGAAGAATATCAAAGAAACTAGAAATTTCATTCTGCCATCCTGCTTGATATGTGTGGTCTTTACCGTTCATGTTCAATAAAAATAAATTATAATGTCACTTATCCTGTGAGAGGGAAGAAGAATTGGAGTCAGATGATAATAAATTTTCCTTAGAGTGTTGAGCGTCAACAAGGGTATCAGCAATTTTGCGTAAGGCAGGATCACTTCAGCTGATATATGGAATTAGTCTAAAGGCAGCTACACCACGTCTAGACAGAGTTCCATTCATTTCTTTTAATATGTAAGAGCCTCCTTTTGTTTGTCTCTCAACAACAAAGGGTCCTAAGTATCGAGGTTTTGTTTTGTAACTTGATTCTTTTTCAATCTGGGTATTACAGACCAAGACAAAATCACCAGAATCAAATGATTTCTTATGCATCCTTAGGTGATATTTCTGTTCAAACTGAACCTTGGACTTGAATCTTGCCTTTTCAAGGTCTTCATGGCCTGTCTCAAATCTTCAGATCTTCTTTCGATTTGACAGATTTGTAGTGTAAGGAAATCAACGAGATGTATATTCTCATGAAATCCTTCCATAAGGAATGTAGCTTCACTAAGGTCAAAGAGTAGAATGGGATGTACTCCATGTAGGAGGTAAAATGGTGAGAATTCAGTTGCACGGCTTGTGGTGATATTTTCAGCAAAGAGTGTAATGCTGGTGGTTGGGGTGATCTTAACACTGACATTTATTTGTTAAAGACAGCAGTGTGATGCTCTGTTCTGTCATGTCTTGTCCTAAAATCAGGTTGAGGAGAGCATGACATCAGTTGATTTCTGGTAATCCTTTAGTAAGTTCTTCAACATGTGATGGCACTAGTCAACTTACCCATTCCAGACAGCCTCACACAAAAGACTGTCCAAGTGTGCTGTGGTGTGAGAGCATTAGAGTCAAGGATTACCTTTGAGAGAACTTTAAGAGGAAAAGCTTATGAAAGATGAATTTATAGACAAGATAGATGACCATGGTGCATTGACATTGACATTTCTTCTATTGCCTAAAGCTTCACTTAGGGTGAGTGCAAGGGCATCAGCCTTTGCAGGATGCTTTATATACTTCCTGACACACCAAGTACTTATTGATACCTGTATGATACCTCAATACGGACTTATTACATAGGTTTTGTGCTACCTAGTGATATTGTCTGGTTGTATTCCCTCATCTATTATTTATGCCCTAGGCCTCTTAAGCTTCACTAGCTATATGATATTTATGACATCTTTAACTGCATTAAGTTTTACTTTGTGATCTAAGGATTCACCATCTACCTAGCAGTGTTTCCAATGTGGAGTATTATAGTCCCCTCATAACAGAATCCCAGGTTGGCTTATATTTATGTGAGTAGCCTGTTTTAAGTATAACTTCATAGTAATCAGTCATTAATAGACCTGTTGCCAGGCATGGTCAGGCACATCACAAAGATCATCATCCTTCAATCAGGCATTCTCAATCCTATTTCCCACAATGACTAGTATCCTCTGGAACAAATTGATGAGTTCTTCTCTTAAATCCAGTGGTCAGTGTCAGTCAGATGATTACCTCCATTGATCACCAATGTTAAGACCGTACTCAAGTAGTATCGGATCCGAAGGGCTTTGGCCTCAGCTCGTGCGCTGTGCCCCTTTCCCGAGTCTTGCCCCTTATTTCAGAGTACTAGAGTATCACGTATATTGAGACAGATAAGTCTCGTAACAGATCCATTATGGCTTCCGGATATCAAATGTATAGAGTAACGGCTAATCCGGATCGGATCCGAACTAGAACTAACGGGTGTGGACTGTCCGAAGACAGAGATGGATATATAGACTATAGGAATCAATCCTAAGTCTCGGAGTAGACAAGAGTATCGTACTCAAGTCCGGACGGATAACAGAGGGACTTAGAGTCCAGACAGAATGAGTGCAATCTAAGATGATATTCAAACTGATCTACTACAGCGCATGTACAAGGGTTTATATACTACAGATAACTAACGGAATGATCAATAAGCAATGGTGCGAGGCTATGTACAAAGTATAAGCAAAGTATGTGTACAGCGTACTGGTAAGTCGGACAGATAACGTATCATAACCAGAAGTCTAAGCTAAAGCAGATCAGTAAGTGTAGCGGATCAGTAAGCATAACAGAAGTAAAGGATAACCGGTATACCGGTGTACAGGAATGCTGAAAGGAGATGAACGATAGTTAGAGTTATATGAACAGAACATGAAAACAAGGATTAGATTCGGATCTGTGGATTGGACGACGGATATGTCCATCGGATCTGGATCAGATCTGAGATCCGGATCTTCGGATCTGTACCCAGGAATATGGTATATGACAACCAATCATGAAACAGAGATGAAATGTATGTGTAATAAATCAGTAAGACAAATGGAAGTACAAATAACCAGAGTACTGGCAGTCAAAGAATTACCAAAAGGAGATAGACACTGTACTAAGGTTATATAAACAGGAAATAAATAGTGAACTAGATCGGATCAGTGGACTGGACGACAGGAGGGAACAATGGATCTGGATCGGATCTGAGATCCAGATGTCCAGACCTGG